GAAAGAGCAGCAGAGAGAGAACCAGTATGGACATCAATGGTGTACAGCCTTCCTTGGGACAAGCCTTCAACAGCCAGTTCATGCCAGGACCCCCCCTGATGGGCCCTGTTCATCCGGCCATGCAAACTACCTTCCCAATGATGGCACCAAGCCCGAACCCCATGGTCTCTTTCAGCGGATTTGCGATGCCCCCTTTCAGCGTTGCCCAGGCTCCGGCGCAAGCACAGTTTGCCCCTCTGAATAGCGGCATGATTCCTGTCGGCAATACGAATGAGAAGAAAGATCAGAACTGTGGCGTCGTCCCCAACACTGGAGCTATGCCCATGCCTCCATTTGGTGGACAATGGTTCCTCCCACCTCATCCAATGATGCCGATGGGTATGCAATACGCTAGTGGTCCAACGTACTCTGGAGCTCCAATGATGCCCATGGCGTTTGGTTCAATGGGCCAGCCGATGGGCCAAACGATGGGCCAGCCCATGATGTATCAGCAACCTCCTCAGCCTATGCCTACGGTAGGCGCCAGGTCCTTCACCCCCAATGCGCCGGTCGAGAGTTGCCCAGTTTCATCCATTCGACCTAGCATCATCACCAAGAACCAGCTTGCAGGCCTGCGGTCCAGTCTCAAGAAAGCAGAGGCCCAGTTGGCTTACAATCGCCACCAGATCGATGAGAAGCATATGGAAGAGTACGCCCGTCAGCTTCGTTCCGACATCGAGCACTTCGAGATCAAGCTCAAGGGTGAACTCGCACTCGAGGACAGCACTGTTTCTCAGCGCAGCGACGCAAAGGACGCCAGTGAGGTTAAGACATCGAAGGAGTCAAAGCCGGCCGCTGCCGAGTCTCGGAAGACGCTCATGTCTGACTCTTCAGGCGATGCAGATACCAAGAACGACCCAGCTTACATCACTCGTTCGAATGTGACCGAGATGCCCAAGAACCCTCGCCATCGTAAGAGAGACAAGCTCAAGCTTGCCGTGGACACTTCGGCGGCGTCTGCTCCATACATCAATTCCACCGTATTCGCGACCATCTCACCTGTTCCCTTCGACCCTAAGGGACATCATCAGACCAGAGAATTCGACTCACTCCACTTCCGTAAACAATCTACCGGTCTTCCTGTCTCTGCTGCTTTGGCGCCGGTTTTCCAGCCTCGCTCTGACCTTCGCCGTTCTAACGAGAACACTCCTCCTGTCTCGGCTGTGCCCAAGGCAGACAAGGAGGCTGGCGACAATGTTTTCCGTGGTATCCTGCCGAGAAACAAGGAAGAGTCTGATCGTCTCTTCTCAGGCGCCCCTCTCACGCCCGGTCTTGACGAGAAATTCGAGAGGATTATTCGTGAGAATCCTGAGTTGACAAGGGCGTACCTGGTTGGCCAGGTGCCTTTCGGCATGGATCCCAGTCCTGATATCAAAGATTACGTCTACCACCGCCCTCTCAACCAGGAGGAGGAGATGGCCAAGCATCTCTTCTGGAGCAATGCACCTGCACACCTTCGAGTCAACTTCCCCTTCTTCGACGGTAGGAGCTTCTATTTGCCGTCGCCCGAGAAGCCACCTAATCGCGAAGTCAGCGATGGACGCTCAGCTGCACGGCTCGAGGAAAAGTATCGCCGCGCGATCAAGGGGGACAAGAATCCTTTTGCCGCCTTGGAGAGACTGACCGGCCCAAACATGGAGCAAGCAGTGAAGGAGCTGAAGAGAGACACCAAGTCAGACAACATCACCTCGCCCATGAAGCGCCGCAACAAGTCTCGCCCTGTTGCCCACTTCAACAGCCAAGGCCTTGACAAATCGAAGGACAGCACGATCTCGTCGGACAACGCCATCGAGTCCGACTCCGAGAGAGCTTACTTCAACTCGTGGTCAGTTGCAACCTTCACCAAGCTTCATGCATCATACTTACTAACTTGACAGCAGCGTTCGTACTTGGTCGGAGAAAGTCACCGCGTCTGCGACTGCTCTTCCGGGAGCTGTCACTTCGGAGAATGCCCAAGGCTATCTTCCCCAGTATGCCATCGGCCATGCCGCAGCCTCCTTGTCGCCCGCCATCGCCAACACTGCAAACCAGTCTACCCGCCTGTCACCTTCCAAGCTGAATGACAACGGCAAACTAGATGCTGGTCAGAGCTTGCTTGTCGCATCGGCTGATGGTCGCGTTGAGAATCAACCTCCCGGCCTTTCCATTGTGAGTAAAGTCCACTGACTGGGCTCGTAATGGTGGTAAAGCTGACTGAATAACTCTAGCGAATCAAGTGAAGCATCTCGGCCACAACGCCATTGGCATCTTCTTACTCTACTATGGTTACGAAAACGCGTTTTAAACACTTGTACGGATTATTTTGAGACACTCAGTGCTATGGCGGCTTCCAATATCAAGGCATCGATTCCGAGTATTCAGGAGCCGTCGGCGTCATGTTTTGAGAAAGTGATTCTCAATACACAGCTTGTGCAACTCGGCCTTGGTACAGTACTCTCTAAAAGGAAGGTGGAGGATTGATTGCATGGTTCATGAAGACCGAATTAGTCAGGTTATGTTAGCATTAATGATCCCAGTTCACACACGGTTCACACACTGTTTTTCACATTAGTGAGGTGACATTTCGATGTGTTTTAGTCATGTGTGATGCTTAAACATTCTTGATATATTGAGAAACTGCTAACTGAGCATAAAAAGCTGAACAGGAGATATCATGTATCTCACCATCAAATTCCCAGCCTCATGGACAAAGCTCAGTGAAAATCTTCGGGCGAGTGGAGAGGCGGTGATTCCACCTCTTCCGGGGGTTACTCTTCGCCAGTCGTATACCTCGAAAACCATGGATTTGTAGTTAACGCGGAGATATCCTAGCGGGATTTATACAGTCACATGTGCGACCTACCGTTGAAGAACGTTCCAAATTCATGTAGGGGAACTCATGTTCTTGCCAGTCAACAGCAACAAATAGGTTAGCATGGTCACGGGATGATGTAGCAAGAGACATCACCGCCTCCCTAGGGCGGAAGGGGACGGTGGTGGCTTCGGGAGGACCTCCCATGGAGCATCTCACGGGTTTGAAGACGTGAGGTGGCCATTGAGAAAACGAAATTTCTCGATTTCATTTTCTAGAACTTTTTGTTGCCTTTTTAGCCTTGTTTCCCTCGTGCTTTTCTTTTCCCTTTCCAGGCAAAATGTGGTCATCTGCCATTGCCAAAACGCGTCAATAGGTCCTGTCGTGAAAAACGCCGTCGAAGATGTGGATATCGTTGTCATGTCCCGCCGCCGCCGTTTTATTGAAGATTGTACCGGTTCCCTTGAACTGCCGCTTTAGGATTTTTGGTCGTTTTGCTCCTCCAACCCGTCATGAGTGAAGACTCGATCATTGTAATCAAGCCCCCGTCACTTGAGAAGGAGGAGGAAGCCATTGATTCATGGCGATTGAGACCGGATCAAGAGTTGGAGAAGAAATTTAGGCGGTAGCCTTGGACTTGACGCGGAGCTCGCGGCCGATCTTGGTGCGCTCAAGGATGGACTCGCGGTCCTTGTCGAGCTTGAGCTTGTTGATGACGACGTTGGAGGGGTGGATGCCGAGGGGGACGGACTGGCCGGAGGTCTTCTCGCGGGTGACGCGCTCGACGTGGATGACGTACTTGAGGCGGTAGACGGAGGTGACCTTGCCCTCGCGGCCCTTGTTGGCGCCACGGACGATGGTGACCTCGTCGTCCTTGCGGACGGGGATGGAGCGGACCTTTTGGGGTGTTAGAACAAAAGAGTCTGAAGTAGGATTGAAAACCGTGAGAGTGAAGACGAACGTTGTACTTCTCGCGGAGCTCCTTGGAGAGAGGGGCGCTCATGATGACACGACGGGTGCTGGAGGGGGCACCGAAGTGAGCCGCGCGCGACTTGCGGCGGGAGGAGGAGATGTCTGTTTCGCAGCAAAGTCAGTAAACCGTCTCAATTATCATCATCAAAAACGTTAAGAAGAACACTCACTCTGGTTAACCTTGGTCATCTTGGCTGCGTTAGTACAAACGTCGTTTGGTTGGAAAGGGAATTTCGCTAAGGTTGGGCGTCGCAGAGAAAAGTCGAGGAAGCAGAGGCACGTCCAGCGAAAAAAAAGTTTTGGCAGGATGGGGTGGTTCGGCCGTTGTGGGCTGCAAATTGGAGAGACCCACGTGACTTAGGTCTTGGTTGAACAAATCACACTGGTGAGGTGATCCTAGCTCCTGCCGGGCTGCAGGAGAGGAAAAAGTTCAAAGGCCGGGCGGATTTGGAGCTCAATCGGCCGAGACCGGGATTCCGCGGTGTTGCTGATAAGATAAGTCGCATCTCTGAAAAGCCATGAGAGATATCCTCCGCGATGCTCAAGGTAAGGTAGGGGGAAATTGCATAGGAAGTTTGCAACAAAAGCAAAAGGCATCGGCAGGCCCGAAAAGACATAATTTGGCGATGTTACACGTGGTCAGAAATGAGGGCTTTCAAGTAATCAAGCTTCCTGTTACTTTCCCTTCAACCGATGACCATAGTGAACAAATCTGGGAGTACCTATATCCCTAGCCCAGGCACCAAGAACCATTGTCTCTTGTTCTAGACTGATACCAGGCCGTTCTAGTGCGGAATTGAGGCATTGATACTTCCCCCCTTTTACCTCATGTGAGGTAGTGAGCGAGGTTTCTCTGAATAGGTACCTCACTCACTAAACTTTATTCTGTACAGATACATTTTCATCACCAGGTGACAGTAGCGAGCCACTGAAGAATGAACATTGTACAATAGATCTATATGCCGCCTTTACCACAGTCATGGGAATACAATAGCTCTTTTCAACGCCTGGTGGTATGCTCTCCCCCAATGGGGTATACAGTAGTAGTTGTACAAGCTTGACCAACGAGGTCTAGAGGGGCCTTTTTATACAAGTAGGATTTGAGGTAGAACACGTCGTCAGAGTGGGGAACATGGTGTGTATGGTGTGTAGATGTAGAGCGTCTCGTCCGTGTATAGTGAACATGGACTGCTCTTTTTTAGTTGCTCGCAAACGGCGTAGGCGCCTTGAACTTGCCGTTGTCGTCGTACTTGGCCTCTGTAATCACACGGTCAGCAACCCAATCACCTACTATCCTCATTCCCCAATCTCCCGCAGAAGAATGACAAGAGAAGAAGCAGAGAGCAAAACTTACTGAAGAACGTATAATTCAACGTCACAGTCTCAATACCACGCATATTGACATCATTCACAATATCCGGATCCAAATAAAAGAAAACCGGCATATCCACTGTCTCGCCCGCATTCAACCTCTGCTCCTCGAAGCAGAAGCACTGAATCTTGCTGAAGTACGGCGCCACCTGACCGGGTGTGACGCTGTAGGTTGCGACACCGATAATGTCCTGGTCCGAGTTGTTCGTCGCCGTGTAAAAGGCCAGCGCCGTCTCGCCGGGGAGCACGCGCACCTCGCGCTGCTGCGGGGTGAACTTCCAGGGGAGGATGTCCGAGACGGACGAGTTGAAGGTGACGCGGATGCGCGGGGCCGTCGTCACGGGGACGAGGCGCGCGGCGAGGCCGTCTTCGCTGTAGTCCACGTCCGGGCCGTGGGCGCGGACGGGTTGGCCGCCCCAGCCTGTTGTTTGGCAGATCTGTGGAGGGGGTGAAGAGTATGGGTTAGCCGTCTGCAATGTCTCTCCTCGTAGTGAAGGGGTCGCTGAGGGTCGGGGTGGAGGGAAAGAAGCGCACCATCTTGTAGAGAGGCACGGAGCCGTATGACAGGGCGACTGTCCCGAGAATGACGCTGAGTGTGTAGTACCTGGATCGCAAAACCACTTTAGCCCAACGCTACTCTTGAGTCTCAATACCAATTGCTCTCTTACGCTGTTGTAGCATTCTTGCGTTTATAGTGCGCATGGATCTGCTCCATTGAAGGCGCACCGCCGAAGCTGGACCCGTTTTGCTGCTGCTTCGGCGAAGGCGTCGTCGATGCCGCTCGGCGGCCGGCCGGGGGCATCCGCAGGTTGCGCGGCGCTGGACGGACAGCGTGCTGGCAGAAGAAGCAGCTCCATTTCTGTGTCGACTGCGAGGATATACGCCACGGGAGGCGCTGGAGGGCGTTCATGGTCGCGAACGCGGGGGCGAAAGTTGAGGGTTGAGACCGTGAGGTTGTTGCCGGGAATGTTACGCCGAATCGTTCGACGATGTCATGCTATTTCGCATTTCATCGGGATTTGGGGAACCGACCTAGCTCTAGCTTGCTGGCAGCGGGCGGTCCCCGAGAGGCCGGGACGGGCGGGGTGGTTGTTCCGCCCCCGGGCAATGGTTGGCTGACTTATAGGGGTCTCTGCACTCTATTCCCGCTGAAGAGCCCCTGTTCAATGAGCAATAACAACCTAATGCATTTGGATGCCGTAAGGAGTTTCAACGTCAACGAGAATGGGCGAATGCTGCAGTCCATGGGGTTTGCCTTAGTATTAGATGTTTTGTTGATTATTTACTATTATTTCCACCGGCTTGATGCTGTTGATCTCGTCAAGCCATACGAAGCAGTTTAACGCCAAGTGCCATCACGCCGGTTCAGGCAGCTTTGCCACTCTTCAAAGACCTCCTCCACCCATTTCGACGACCGTAAATTGCAGTCTCAGCTGCGCCTGCCGCTCTCTCCAGTACTCTAATGACAAACACCTGAATCAAAAGGATGACGAGTCGTACCAGCAAGTCGGCAAGCCCCAAAGACGGTTTCCTCCCTCGGCTATACGTAGAGTCGACAAATTGGAATGGGAGTTTGGCATAGAGGTGGTCCTGTGCGGCATGTAGTCCACTGCTGAAGGCATCCTCATGGAAACCGTACTTTGTCCAGGCCCCCGCGTAACTGATACCCCTCTTGTTCTGGATGCGTGGAAGAAGCTTCTGTGCTCGGACGGCGGCAGGTGTGTAGAGAGGATGACGGTATGTGAATGACGCCTGGATCGTGTCTGGGTTCGGCTGGTGCAAGGGGTTCATCGTGACGAGGACGTCTCCGAAGGTCTCCCTGGGGATATGCTGAATGATGTTCATGTTGTAGGTCAACGAAACCTGGTCGATGTTCTGCTTGCCAGTGGAGGGCGATGACAGGGTCAGGTAATTCCAACTAGACCATGCCTTCTCAGACGCTGGCATGTGTGAAATATCGGAATGGAGGATGACCGAGTTCTCGGAAGTTTGGAAAGCGGAAAGAATCTCCTTCTCCTCAGGCGTGGCTGATCCCTCGATAATTCTCAAGGCCTGGTCTCCGTGCGTCGCCAAGATAACATGGTCGTAAACGTCGGACTTGCCGTTGTGGGTGTGAACACGAACTCTGCCATCCTCCTCGCTGGTGACTTGAGTGACCTGCGTGTTAAGGAAAAGGTGATTTGACGGGAATCCGCTCATGACAGCATCAATGTAGGATTTGCCGCACTTTTTCAATGTGAGCCACTCCGGTCTTGTCGCAACCGTTGACAGGAGATGATGGTTCCACCTAGCCTCTATTAGTACTACGCCTCGATCGCGGACAATGAGACTCACATGAAGCGAACCAGAGTGACAGCTGGGAAGTTCAACGTGCACTTATCCGGGCTTGTGCTCCATACGGCGGCGGTCATAGGAATTAGGTAGTCGTCCCTGAATGCATCTGAGTAGCCTTCTCTCTCGAGGTACTCGCCGATCGTTTCCTCTCTCTTGCCTCCTTTGCTATATCCGTTCATCGCAGCGGCATCGTTCTCATCCTCCGCCATCAACAAGTCCAGTGCAAATTGGTTGAAACGAATGATGTCGAAGATCATCCTCCACATCCGCGGCGAGAAGATGTTTTTCCTCTGAGCGAAGATGGAATCTAGACTTTTACCAGCCCATTCGAATAAGCCATGGTCACGAGTGACGCCAAATGTCATCTCGGTCGGGACGGTGTCCACCTTGACCCTCTTCAAGAAGTTGATAAAGTTTGCTGAGCTTCATGTAAGTCAGAGGCTCATGATGGCTGATGTAGAGGACCTACGATATGTGGCGGTGTTGAGGACGATAAAGCCGGTGTCGACGCGAGTCTCATATTTGCCGTTCTTCCAAGTCACCGTATTTGTGTGTCCTCCTAGCCTTGATGAGGCCTCGTACATATAAACGTCATGGTAGCTTCGGTTGAGAGCCCAGAGAGCCGCGATACCGGCGGCTCCACTGCCGACGACGGCAACCTTCTTCCTAAACCTTGGGTCAATAGGAGAGCCCACGGAGCCACGAGAGCCTATTGATTCCAGCGACGGTGGTCGTCGGGACATTATGCAAGAGATACGAGGATGAACGTTGGGAAATGTGAGGTTTGTGGATGTTCCTGAACAAAGCCACTGGACGTCTGTCGCGCGAGGGCGCAGATTTACAATGCTACAGTAGCATATAAAGATACGGCAAGAAGAATCGGGGAGGCCGGTAACAGCTCTCTATCCAGGATGGAATGGCGGCGGGCAAGAAGAGGGGAATTTTCAGACGCAAGCCACGGACGACGATTTGGGGAAAGAGAACAATGGTTCGCACATGCTTCCAGCAAGCCAAACTCTCACCTTGTCTCTGTGACTGACACCCCGCCCCAGGTTCAGGAAGGGGAGCACAAAAAGTCTCAAGTTGGCGGAGGCAACATTGGTACGCAAGTAGGGTACATCTGCGCCTGTAGCACCACCACCACTTGGCTGGGCTGGGCTCCGGACCAGTGCGCTTACTAGTGCTGCAACTCATGCAGCTGAAGGGATGGAACGGGTTCAAACAGGTAGCGTTCTTTGGGGCTGTGGTAGTGGCAGCAGCTGTGTGTGCGTAACATACGAGGTATGTGGGTGTAGGGATGAATGCGGTGTGTAGGCCGAGAGCGAAGGAAACCAGAGCTCAGTGAGACAAGCGGAGAAACAAAACGTACAGCGGCTGACCTGGCGGCATCTTGACCTCTGGTCTCTGTTTCTGAGGATGTGATGAGAGTCTGGTGGAGTCTCTCTCGAGAGGGAGCTCAGCTCTGGAGCAAGCAATGATCGACACGTGGCTGCCGGTAGCAAGGACCGCAAAGAGATAGGTAATGCGAGGCGCAGGAGACAAGGTATTAGATAGAGCTGGAGCTGGAGCTGGAGCTGGAGTAGATAGGACCCTTTCTGAACCTTGGGATAAGTTTCCGGTGCGAAAATCGGTGACAAGAAGGGAGGGAAAAAAAGGTGAGACGGGCTTGGGAAGACGTCGGCAGGTGTGTTCGGTCGGCTGATCACGATGCGATGAAACGAAACTCAGCTCTTGCCGGAGTTCCCACGCGCAATGACGCTTGCATTGGGACACCCCTGCACCTGATCCTTCTGCGTCTGCTGCGTCCCCAGCTCTTTCCCCAGCCCCCCTTGTCTTGCCGGACTTCAACTATCGCTTGATGGTTCACGATCCAAAACGCCACAAGTGGCTGGCTAGACATTTTATTTCATTTTTCCGAAAAGAGGCTGAAGATTCGAGACGACATCTGCAAATTCAACGCTCGGAATTTGATGGTTTAGACGCTTCATTTGGATGAACGCATGCTCGTGGAAAGTGAGGCTGGCGACAAGAGACGAGAAGGCCTTTCCTGAAGTTCCAGGTATCTAGCTTTCAACTTGCCGTTCATCAAGGCAATCGTTTTGCGGAAAGAAGAAGGCCCCGATAAAGGCGTGCCATTATTCTCACGATGAAAAGCTGATTTGGATCTGTCGGCCAGCTTTACCAGTCAAAGCATCATTTCGACGCATTGAAAAAAATGCTAATCAAAATCAACTCGTCGCTATTGAATCCGATATGGGCGAGGACGTTCAGCAGAATTCAACTTCGCAATGGCGCCACTCCTCGATTTTTCCACGATAACGGGTGGAACTTCTTCCTCACTGCCAGAGACCAGCTCCAGCAAGCAATGAAAAAGAGAAAAAACAGGCCTGTCAGACGTCCATCGACACCCACCCTGACCGTGCGCCCAAGGGCAAGACCACGATCAGGGACGAGATCATCACCGCTCTCTATACAGCAACCTTTACAGGAGGCCGCCCTCCTTGCGGAGGGTGCGAGAGCAACCAGAGTTCTTCACTCTAGGGTGTCGAGGATATCAATCATCAACCAGGGTGGGATCTGTAGCTCCTTTAGGGAACCAAGAGTAGGTCGAATACTATAGAAATGATTCTCTGAAGTATTGTCGACATGAAGAAAAAAGAAGAAGAAAAGTCTAAGATTCGCGGTGGAAGGTCACCCTTATATAGATTTCCCCAACGACAGGTTCGGCGCACGGGCCAGGGGCCGTTAGAGTGGGTTTTTGGTGGGCTTTGCTGCCTGCGGTGGGCGACGACGGCTGAAATTTTCGACAAATGGCTGGTCACCGCCCAAACTTTTTGTGATTTTGCCGCTTTTCGTTGAAGGAGTAGTCTGCATGAAGAAACTTCCTTCCTCATCTCGCGGGCGCTGCGCAATAAGGACTTGCGCGCAGAGCTTTTCGTAGATTTGGTCCTTAGAGAGAGGTCTTTTCCCACGGCTTCAGCTTCTCCTGTCAATATGCATGAATATTATTCCACAAAGGCATGGTAGACGCACTCAGTGCTAGGCAGACATCCCGATCTCTTCGCGGAGCTACTTTGAGATACCTCGTTGCTCACGTGAACACGCATTAAAAATCACATGGAAGCCTGCGACGCGCGGTCAAGTGTGTCTTCGTGGTTCGGGCAATATTACATTAGGTTGCTCATGTAAGGTACCTGGACATGAGACGCATCGGACTGCAAAAACCGGCAGGCACCAAGCCTTCACGAGTGCAGCAGCCGAAGCCTGAAATCTGTTGCCATTCAGCACCTCAGTTTAAGATACGGCAAGCTGTCTCGTGTACCATTTTCAGGCTTTCATCTGCTGACGCGCTGCTTGCGGAATTATCTGAGCAAGGCAGACAGAGGCGTACCGAGTAATCATGGCTTCTAGGCATCATTCATATGGATTATGGATGTGCTTGAGCCGCATAACATCTCATAGACGAGGTCTTTTGATACGGCTCTCTGGACAGAAAAGTACCAAGGTACAGTACCTCGGATTGTACTTAAATGGGCAGCGCGCAGAAATTCAGAGCAGGCCAAAAGCGTGCAGTTGAAGCCTAGTAGGCCATTTAAGGTAGTGTCAAGTTATCACAAGGCGAATGGTAGACGACGAAAGTATGTCGAGCACTCAACGGGATCGGAAAACGGTAGTACGAGTCCCCAATTCTTAAAAGCGCCGTGACAGTTTTTCAACTGCCATCAGTCTACCCGGCTTAAGTTCAACTCCACGTCCAAGTACGAGAGACACGTAAATGCATTTCCAGACTGGCGACGCGGAGCCGGTTTCTTCTAGAGCCGGGGGTTTCAACTTTGAAGAAGAAAAAGAAGAAGAGGAAAACGAAGTTTTGCGCCGACCGATTTCTCATAAAAAGACCAGCCTGCGGGTGGGGGACGCGGAAAGCGGGCGCATGGGCCATGCCTATCACGTGTCTCTTCACTGGAATGGCTACCTTATTCTGCTGTAGTACAGAGTGCCTGTGCTGAGGTAAGGCACCACGACACCTTAATGAGTGTGTGTCCACTCAAGGCCCAGTGGCTGGAGCCCAGCGTCTCGTTGCATCCGATTGGTGCACCAGCCACCCGGGAGGAATGATGTCGCCAAGCCCGGTCCTGACTTACGCATACACCTCCGTACTCCATGCGACCAAGTACATTCATCAAGACCAACAATCCACTCGCCCTTGACCGTTTTCGGCATTGATCCAACTACCACCCCGACGAACCCGCAGTGACGACTATCAATCTTGTGATACCCAACGAAGCCAAACTCTCACAGCTCGCCTACAGCCTTCCCGACGAGGAGTGCCCCCATCCTCTCACTCCATCCCTTTATCGCCCTCCTGAAGGCGAAAGGTCACCAACGACATCTCCCGCCAACTTTCTAAAAACCACCCGACCAACGAACCTTTCCACCTCCCCAATCCCGCCGCCACCATGTCCAACCCACTCGAAACAGAGCCCGGCTCCGAGCGCTTCGGCGACTACGAAGCAGAGCTGAAGCTCGTCCAAGCCGACCTCGTCCAGAAACTCGACCAGATCCCCGAACTCTCAGGCGAGCCCCGCAAAGCCGCCCTCTCCTCCGCCGAGCGCGCCCTCGAGGAGGCCGACGAGCTCCTCGCCCAGATGCGCCTCGAGAAGGCAAACATCCCCACCACCCTCCGCTCCAAGATCAACGCCCGCTTCCGCAACCACGAGTCCGACATCGACGCTCACAAGCGCAAGCTGCGCTCCCTCGCCGACGACCGCGCGGCCTTGTTCGGCGCGCGCTACACCGACAACCCCTCGGGCAGCGGCCAGGACGTCCAGCTCGAGCAGCGCCAGCAGCTGCTCTCCGGTACGGACCGCCTCGACCGCTCCACGCAGCGGCTCAAGGCCAGCCAGGCCCTCGCCAACGAGACGGAGGGCATCGGGGCTGGTATTCTGGGCGATTTGCACACCCAGCGCGAAACCATCCTGCACACCCAATCGCGCCTTCTCGAGAGCGAGGGATATGTGGACCGAAGCGTCAAGACGTTGCGGGGGATGGCACGTAGGTAAATATCGTCCCTTACTACCCTTGGTTGTTCAAAGCTACGAGGTGAGAGATCCAGACTGACATACTCAAAGGATGGCTACCAACCGGGTGATTACGATTTCCATCATCACCATCCTGGTTCTTCTCATTATCGCCGTCATTTACAGCAAGTTCAGATGAAGAAACGCAGCAACAGCAGCAGCAGTAACAACTATCCCCGTCAGGAGTGCGGGGCCCGGAGTTTTGGGTTGTATAAGGATTCTACCACGACTGTACTTTGATCACTCCCATCGGGAACCTCATTACGTTTTCTTTCTTATGTGTGCTTTTTTTTTTTTTGCGAGCAAAGTGAAAGAGAGAGAGAAAGGGCCTCGAGTGCAATGTCATATAACGATTGGGGAAAAGCCCCTGGTCTGGGTTTGAAAGCAAGAGGCCGAGTCCAAACAGAGACAAGACGTAACAAAAAACAAGAAAACCATCATGACCAAAGGTGCTTTAGACAATTGACAGTCTAACGACACCATTATGCATGAGAATATGTATTACCAATCGCTCCTTTGTAAATGTCAATTTCTTTTTTCTCTATTTACCGTACCCGACAAGACGCCGACATGACAATGTTTGAGAGACCCTCTTTTTCCCTTTTCAACTCGGGGTCGCTTTTAACCTCATTGAATGGGTATAATCACACTTTTAAATCTTCAAA